CCAGCCTACAACCTAATCCGCTCTCCGTTCCATGAAAAATCATCCCTTCCCTTACTGTAACATTAACGCTACCTCGCGAAATACGACCCCCCTCTTTTCCACCCCCAAATACGACCCCCCTCGTTGGACTTTGTCCAACGGACGGTTGACCCTGCTTCTCAATATGTTCAAATATTGGTGGCCATAACCCCTCTAGCCTCCTTTGCGGTCGGCATATCGACCGATTTTCGTCGTTCTCGCCTCGTTTGCTAACGGGAGTTTCTCTCAAATCTGCCCCCGCTCGTCGCGAGCATTCAAGCACTGCCGTATGTTTCTGTTTTGAGCACGCGCTTCTCTCCGCTGGTCTTCGATCTCCCATTCTGTCGCTAGTAAACAAACATCGGGTAAAGAACAGCGACACAGTTGATATTGAACACAAACTCAACTGAAAATATTTATTCTTTCCCAGCGTGCTCGACGAGCTCCAGCTCCAGCACGGTGGGAGGATTTTCAGCTAGCCTTTTTTTAATGCTACTGGACCAAAGATTATCACGTGAGGTTGGTCGTCACAACACGTCGTTATGCAATGCTCTCCCGAATATGCCATACCAAATTTCTCGTTTCGAACCATGGGAATTTCGCGCTTGGGGTGTTTTAACTTGAGGGTATTTATCCTTTTCAAAATAATTTATTTAAGGGCCGAAATTTTTTTTCGAGCCTTCAACTCCATTTCTTTCTTACCCAACATTATATTGCTATTTTATTTATTCAGTCACCTCAGATCTCAAGACAAGTCCGCTCAATTGAATCGAAAGGTCTCTTTTCTTCTTCCCTGTCCGTGCAATAGTAAAAATCAACGATGATAGCGTGGGAATTAAAAATAGAACTTATGTAAATTTGTTTGTTTTTTGTCGTGAAGAAAAAAATTAAGTACTTGAATTGCTGAACAACACGCGAATTGTCCATCCTTCGTTGCAAAAATTGAAACGCCCTTACATATGAGAATTCAGGGTAATATAATATTACGGAAATAAGTGAAGTAGGTAATAAGTATGAATACCTCGTCAATCTACAGATCCGACGAAACAGTTCTTGTCCCTTCAAAAATGTGACGTTTTTTGTGACACATTTAATGACATAAGGTGAATGGCGCTCGATTTTCAAATGATTCATTTCAGATCTGCTCAGTTCAGGTCGCTGTTTGCGTCCTTTTGAGGATTTCGCTCAGAAAAAAGTTGGGCCTAAATTGAGCCTCAGATTCTAAGGGCTCTCGACAGGGCCGGCCGAATCTGCAAGGCAAGTACCACGGATCTGGATGGCGTACGCCTGTGATGACGTCATTGTACGTCCCCATTGGTGGGAAGGCGACTCAGCGTGTGAGGGGTTTGGTTAGGACGCCTCATAAATGTCCTCCCACCAATGACGTTCAATGACGTCATCAAAACCGCGCCACCCTCCAGCCATCGCGATGGCTGCCTTTAACCCGAATCCTCCACCAGTTTACAGCGCCAGTGCAGCTGGCCGATTACTTCCCAGTGTATAGCAGTAATATGGATGAATCTGCATTTAAATAGATGTAATACGAGTTGGGCTGCTCCGCTATAGCAGATATCACAATTCAGCAAAGGAATTCAGTCGCAAGGCAACAGTGTTTTTGTTCAATTCTTTCCCGCAACTTGGCACGCGTTCCATGGACCATCGCCCTTTGGTCCTCTTTCATCGCTAGCTTCTCTTCGCTTTCCCTCTGCCATAAGACAGTCTTGAAACAATCCTTACGAAATTTCGTTTCTTGAAAACATCCCACGGAAGATTCGTTGTCAGCTCCAACAAAAACTCGCGTCCTCCTGCCATGAGCCACCACTCTTCGCCGAATGACCTTACCACTTCTCGTAGCTCAGAAAAAGTCTCAGAGTGGTGGTTCTTTGAAAAAGTATTGTAATTCTTTGAAGTGACCACCATCCAATCGAAGACATGTTCCACCCATTGTGTGTATTTGGCAAAGTTGATTGCAAGCCACGGAGTCAGGATTAGGCCGCCCAAGAAGCCCTCCTTTTCTAGAGGGCAGCAGAAGAGGCCCCAAGCCCAGCGCAGTGAATTCGGACTCAAAAGTGGGCACGGCAAGGATCTAAGGCCTTGCCGTTGTGTGTTGTCGCGTGCAACCTCTGCCTGATCCGTCGCGGCTATACTTTCTGTTTGGCACCCTCTTGCGTACGCGTACCTCTCTGCGTTTCCCTCTCCTCGCAGCGCTATGCCTCTACGTCGCAACGCATCGGACCTCAGAAGGGGAACTCCACTGTTTTCTCGGACACTTTTTCCCCACTAACGTGCCTCAGCACTTCCTGCCATTTTAGCCAAATAACACAAATCTGGCCCCGACCAGGGTCGGTCCTATCGTTGCTACTTTTCGAAAAATTTTTACGACCCCCCTCCCCAAGGTGGATTTGGTACGACCCCCTTCTCGACCCTCGACCACCATATTCCTCGCTATAGTATTTAATTCTGGTATCACTCAACCCACGAAAACTCCGCCCACTTTTTCCTCCAAAAATGCCGTCGAGCGGGGGGTATATAGTCACTCTGAAACCGTAAAAATTACCTAAATTTCCACCAATTTACCCCCTCCTACCTTTAATCCCACGCTTCATTTTCTAAGGGGGGGTATATACGCGCGCTGAAACGGCAAATTTTCTCCCGCGCCACTCCTCCCTCACCTCATGCAACTTCTCACAATCGAAGCAAGTACGACCCCCCCTCTACAACCTCATAAAAATATACGACCCCCCCCCTCTACAAACTCATCAAAATGTACGACCCCCTCCAAAAACTCATCAAAGTACGACCCCCCGTGCTACTTGTAGCAACGTAGGACCGACCCTGCTCCCAACCTACTTTTACATTCACCTCCAGACATTCCCTCCCGACGAAATTTTCTCCTATCTCCAGGCCGTCCCATACGTTTTCGTCGCAAACACTACCATCATAAGTGCCTCTTTATATTAATTGAAAACCTTGAGCTTATCTTTATTCATTTTTCCAGCCGCTGGGCTGTAATCTGGAAGGGAAGAAACTGCGGGGCGTTTTGACACAGCCCATTTCGCTGTCGCGGTGCACGTTACATTCACTGGGCTTGACTTAGCTCATGTGCACCGTTCGTCTGAAGCCATACCCTACCCATCCCAAACTTGGCCTCACATCTCTAGATGACCTCGTAGGTAATAACGAGTTTTTTTTAGGAAAAGATTCAGACCTATTTGGCTGATTTTCCCTCCCTAATACGAAATGCTCTATGGAGTTCTCGAGACTAGGCTTTAACTTTTCCCGAATATGTTCTTCTACCAACGCTTTCAAAGTCAATTTCAACTACTTTTCAGGTCCTTTGGAGGCACTACATAGCATCCTCTGTACATAGAATAAATCCACTTATTGGTAGAAAACTTCGCCTTGTTGTCTTTCAGGACTGAAGAGTGCTGTATGGCACTTCTGTGTTCACAGTTGAAGGAGTTCAACAAATCTCAACAAACTCAACCAATCTCTATCCACCGTGAAATTATGGATAGCTGAACTCCTTCGAAAAAAAACCGCGAGAGCAGAGGAGATATAGAGCACAGAGCACTGGGAGATCTTTGCGCATTCTACTCACTTCCATTAATCCTAATGGCATCTTGAATGTGATCACCTATTCTTTGAAGTGTAGGCCAGCCGATGTGCAAGTCGTTTTCATCCTCCTACACGACTCCGGTACTAATCAACCGATCTCGGAGGGGTGGAAGGCTCGGTAGGCCCGGCTCAGGGAGGCGGTGGAGGACCGGTGAGGCCGGGCTCAGGATGTTGGTCCCCTCATCTGCGCGTATAGGTCTAGCGCCACTTGCCTCTTCGCCACTACGGCCGGGGTCAGACTTTGCGAATCCAGCGATTCGCTAGCGAGTCGAGAGATACGAGCGCTGCGTTGCACCAACGAATCAAGCCGTGTACCAGCGACTCGACGCTGTTTGAAAGTGGGACTCCTCCTGTTTGCACGTTGACTCTCGCCCTTTTTTCCCGAGCTCTCACGCTCCTTCACCTTCATGCCCCTCCGTGAGCGTTGCCATTTTACAAACAGTGTTGAGTTGCATGGTACACAACTCGAATTCGCTGGTGGAGACGCTTCGTATCCGAGCGATTCGATGCGAATCGCTGCTTCCGCAAAGTTCTAAACACCGGCGTACTGCTCGGGCTCGGTTTGCGCTCACCCGACCACCGAGAGTCTCATTGCTCGCGTTCCATCTTGCCTCTCTCTTTACTTTTCGGTCGGATCGGAAGTAAGACTATCAATCAGGTCTGCGAAGGTGATGGGACCAACTCCCCCCCATCGATCAGTGCACAGTGTTGATTTTACGTCCCTTTCGGAGTGTTTTTTGTCTTGATTTAATATTTTAACCAACTACCACAACTTGTGGTTGAGCGTAATTGACCCACAACCTATTCAGTCGTGGAATGCACCTTGGCGGAAAATAAGCTTTCAATGACAGCAGTAGGAAGAACCGCGAGAAACTGCTGTAGTGAAAATTCCATATATGAGCGAACCAAGAGTTAGTCAGTAAAGCTATTCATGACGTAAGGGAGAGATTATTGAAAACAGTTTTCGTGGGAAAGGTCCTTATTGAAAATTAAGGAAAACACCAAAATGATCGGTACGTTGAAACAGCAAAGGACAGAACTATGAGTAGTGCATGAAATTTGAATGCAAAACTAGTTCATCGACACAATTGATGTCCTATCTTATCATACTAAGTCAAGCAAATTCGAGCATGACGAAAGGACGTACGCTACAATTTTCATACCAAAAGACATTCAAATTTTTCACCCGTCGGATATTTTTGAAGGTAGATCTCGTAGATACACGTATGTATTTCCTCTGAGTAGCACCACGCATTCTACTACCAGTCAGTATGTAGTGGCATTTGTATACTTCACCGCCACTTGCCACGACGCCATTCCCGCCTTCACGCGTTTATACTAGAATAAAAATAGTCGTACAGAAAGGTTATGTAGCTATTTACGACCTTCCCATCGTGACGACTTTTCTCAGGGCTTCTGTCACGGGGTTTACGACGCCACATTTTGTCCTCTCGTATGTCCCCATAAACTTATTCGGACTGTATGTTCGACTGTGCCTTCTTAGATAGGGAGATTTCGGTTGACAGAAGCTCTGTAACTGTGGAGGGTCTGTCACGTACAGCTAGTGCGACTCCAGCGTTACCCACCTTTGTTTAGGTCCACACTCTAGTGCGACGGTGGCGGACTGCTCAGCTCAGGCTCTAAGGATTCTAGGGGCCTCTGAAGACTACGATTCTAAGTTATCGGGTCAATCAATGAATTTCCACCTAAACCTCAAACAATCAGTTGGCATCCAACTGCCATCGTCCGATCGCAGCAAGCTAACGAAAGTCTTTTACACCCACTGAAAATTAAAGTTTACGTTTAAATTCACACAAAAATAAGCCATAATCATTCTCAAGACCTAAGGCGGTAAGGGTTGGGACGGTTTGCTTGACTTGTCAATCTTCTAGGGTGGCAATCAAATTTTCGTTGTTCAGCTCCTTTGCTCTTCCCTTTGTTCTTCGAAGAGGACCATCACATTGAAGTCGTCTGCACAACAGCCACATGCGCTACAGTTCATTCACTTTTGGCACAATCGCCTTCGGAGCATCTCTTGTCGGAAGTTGTCGCTTTCAGCAACCAAAGCTTCATCAAAGCTCGAAACTCAGTTTTGCCCATCGTTTTGGCGTTCACCGCGGTAAGGCTGATGTCAGACTTTGCGAATTGAGCATTCGCTACTAGCGATTCGCTAGCGTCCGCGGTCGCGTTGCGGTACCAGCCAATTGAGTGATTCACTGGCCGCGACGCGACCGCAGACGCTAGCGAATCGCGCGATTCGCAAAGTCTGACATCGGCCTAAGGTCTAGCCCGGCCGCTGCGGGTATCGTTTGCTGCGAAGGTGCCACGACTCAATCCGTTATGGGCCTAGCTTCCCTTTACATTGCTGATTTTCTCTTCTTCAACATCAGATTTATGTACCACCTGCCTCTAAAGTCGACGTTGTAATTAGCGCTGTTATGGGAAGTTCTATGGGAATACTGAGAAATCCTGCCAGACCAAAAATTGTCTATGTTGAGTGAACAATCATAAGGTTTGTAACTTTGCAAGTTGTGGCTACGGGAAACCGCCACACATCTTTGGGCGTCGCGCCTTCATCCCAAAAGTGGACTGCGCTATCTGTCGGGGCTGCGCGATATGTCGTGGCGGAAATTCGGAGGAGGAAGCCAATGTGATGGACTTTTTTCTTGAATTTGGTCTTTCTTGTGTAGGAAACGTGTCGAGAAGGTGAGCAAGCCATGGAGACAAATCTGCAAAGGGGCCTGAAGCAGGTGATTCTTACACAAACCTGGTTGCTAGACAATGCAAAAAGTGCAGACTACTCCTTTGCAATACGCCCTCCATCTCGCCCTTAGTAAAAAAAAAAGGTTTGGTTCATTCTGCAACCAACTGATTATCATACACCAGCAGTGGTTTAGATTTATTTATTATATCTCTCTCACACTCTCCCTCCAGACAGGGTGTCGCTGACTCACTTGTAAGATACCACCGGGACCAGACCACTGGATCAGTCCTTGGTGTTCAGGACAGAGCCATTTGCGGAAGTTTTAGATGCTCAAAAGCTCACGGCTAAACCGTTGGGGCCTTGCCAATGCTTCCCATAAGTGGCTATGAGTGGTAGCCTAACCCTATCTTACACTATCTGTGCCCCTTCGTCCGGCGTGCTCCTTCGCGTATTCTCGCCTCTCTGCGCACTGTCTCGCTCGTACCGACCTTTACGATATGTTTAATCCCGTGATTTTGGTGTACTATGGTCACTTGACTTTCTTCTTCATTTCACTCCATTTCGCACTCCACCTCCTTTATTAAGCGCTTCGATTGACACCGCACTGTGTATCGTCATGGCTGCCTTAACGTCGAGAGCGTAAGAACAAATCGAAAGAGTACAGCAGGAAAATGTGCTTGTTGAGCTCAAGTGTAAGGCGCAAGAGTCACAAAGGTGGGGCGAAGTTCACGCGTTAGAAGCGCAGCTTTAGATCAAGCTGTGAGAGGTACAATGGGGACTCGCTGAAGAAAAAACCTGTGAAAAAAACGACATGACCCTGTAAATCTGAGCCGTTCCTTGATTTTCCGCCATTGACGCGGCTTTATGCCGTGTGGCTGCTGCTTTTAGGCCTAACGCTCTCTCTGAGACCGCGATGAGCGGGTTAGCCAGTCTAAGGCGTGCCAGACGGCAGAGGGGGTGGCGGGCGGCGGCGAGGGCGCAGCGGAGAAGGGCCACGCTATGCAGTCGGTCGGAGATACTACTCTCCCCCTATGAATTGCTGGCCGACGCCCGCATACCAAGGGGAGACCGCTAAATCTCTCCACCTCTCCTCTTTTCCACCTTCGATCTCATCGAAGAGTCCTCCTTTGAGGAACTTTCTCCTCAGCTTAGTGATTCACTGGAAACGATGGTGTCACATCAAGGTACCTTACAATTGCCTCGTAATAAACAACATAATAATTGGTAAAATATATTCACAATTTGAGAACTACTTTTGAATGAATTTTTATCGATATTCAATAATGAATATGAGTACTGTAATGTGACAAAGGCTTCATCGCAGGAAGAGTGTCATAGAGGTGCTTGGTGGGACAATGCTCACCTTTTCGTCACTGTGCTTTTGTTTCCATCATGGAGACCATTTTCAATCATTTCGTTGTTTATTGGGTTTGTTTTGTTGTTTATTTACTTCTAAGTTGGAATTCCTCAGCTTTGCAGGCATTCTCATGTGTGTTGTGCGTTATGAGTGTCATGGGACTGACACGTAATTGTTTGTTTAGTACTAGTTGCTAAGAAACGCAGGCTAGAAGTATTTGAGCGGACGAAAGAGCGATGTTTGCCCTTATCTGTGACGCATAGAACATGGCAAGCATTCTCAGACGGCTCTGCAAAGTTTGGTAGGGTGATATTTAAGGGCAATATTAGAAAGCAGGCCGCTGGCCGTTATTTGTCTTTCAAAAGATCCAAAAGTGCAAGAAAACTTTTTTCGAGCAAAAATTTTGCAAAATTATTTCTTTTTTGCCATCTGAATCGAATAAATAGCTTTCCAGTATTTCGATTTACTGTTGACTTTACAACAGGCAAATTTTGAGAAGTTTCAAAAAACTTAATTTTTTGTACTCAAAAAATTTACCACAATTAGATCTCTCTTCTTCTAGTGTTTTACCTGGTGAAGCTTTTTGCCCACCCCTACCGATTTAGAGTTAATCCGACCTTGTTGAATTTCGCAATAGGCATCTACACATGTGCGCATTAAAAAATTAATAACTGAAATAATCAATGTTCCATAAAAACTTAGCAATTGACCAAAAATTGTATGATTGTACTTGGTAACTAGCTCGTGATTATTACCAGAGCTCCACTAAAAATTGACATAAATTTTACTTTGTGCGTTCTCCTAAAGCGTACTAAGAGTTTCAAAAACCTCATTACTACATTACTTTATCCTAAACCTTAATTAGCGGCGCTGTGCTCTCAAAACGGTTTATAGATAAGGAAAGACTGAATTATAATTTACAAGAATGCTGGTCATGAACTAAAACTTCCGCCCTAGGAGGGACTCGAACTCACCTCTATTATTTAGTAAGGCTCTGGGCGGAAGTAGTTTAGTGGTCAAAGGCGCTGCTTACCAGCGCACGGTCCGGTGTGCGAATCTTAGTACGTAGCCTTCCAGGTCCACTACCCATCCATCTCTGAAGTCAGTTATCGATATCAGACTTACTTGGAAGTATACGAACTCTGACTGAATTTTACATTGGCTGTTCCAAGCTCAAGTCATTGTGTAGGCCAAACTAATTCAAATATAAATATAATTTTGAATGGAAGTAGATGCATGGCGCATCCCAGGAAGAGATTGGTGAGCGCCAGTTGTTTTTACTTTTTGTTCAATTCAATTTTTGTTTTGTTTTGTCGCAGTTTTGTCACAATTGAGTAGGAACAAGTTGCCGATAAGTATATACAATGTAACCAAACGGGGTGCCGACAATGAGAACGGCGAGACCAGGGAGCAGAAAGTCAACGTAGAAGGGCAATGGTCGCCAACACTGCAGGCTCAGGGCAGCAGGTATACACAGATTTTCTCAAATTCGGTAATAAAAGTTTGTACAGATTTTTGCGAATGTCGTCCATAAAAAGATTCCTGTGAAGTTATACGAATTCAGTTACAGTAACAGTATCAGCAGGAGCACCTAAAATTTTCATTTTTTTTTGTTTCCCTATGGGGAGTAAACCATGGGAAAAAATCAACAGGTAGACCATGGGACAATAGAACAGCTTTTCTTTTTAGAAATCTTAACAGTCTGAGAGTGAATAACTTACACTTGCATTCGAACAGAAGTGGTGGGATGGCCAATTGGCGCGGCGAAGCTCTGCACTGTCCAGCGGTCATGGGACTAGATCTGGCGTATGCCTGTGCACGTCAAACAAAGCCTCCCTAGCCTGCCAGAGGTGCGTTATATGTATCACCTGCCTTGTCCTGGAAGGACAAAGAAGCTGTGTTTTCCGCGCCAGGGTCTATGAGTCCCGCCAAAGGATGCGGCCCTGAAAGGATTCTTGGAGTAGAGCGTGATATGTCGGTGGCGCATGTGGTGCCCAAACAAAGGATTCATCAGGTGCGGAGTTCTGCTTGTTGGAGCAGTGACTGACCTTTCAATCGCTGCTTCGTGCCCTATGGACATGAAGGGCACAGCGCAGCTCATGTTTCCGTACCTTATCGCGATTTTTCTCATAATCCTACCTAGCTAAAGCCTTCGTAAGTGAAGTTTTGGTTATTGTGCGCGTAGAGCGGTATTTTATAAGTCGGCATATCGCGGCTCAAGAATGTGTAGAGATCGCTCAGACATAGGGCAAACATTCAAGGCGGCCTAGAAAGGATTAAGCCTCCAGAATGCCTAAACGCTTTTTGCCACGGGGGGACTGTTGTCGGTGGTGGGGTGTTGGAGAGTAGGCCGCCGGTGGGGTTGCAGATCTTTGTTCTCAGCCCTTGCACAACTAACGCTGTCCTTCGATAGTTCCTTGGCAACGGAGTTGCACTATGTAAGAAGAAGGATGTGCACAACTGCAGTTTCATTGTACAAATACCGGGAAAGTAGGTGCAGACTATTCAGCGAAAGTCCTCTATGCCTAGGGTCATGTTTTCTTGTTGCACAAATTTCACACTCACTTTTGGAGCTAAGCGCTAGAAAAGATGTCAAATGCCCCCTGCGCCAAAATTAGTGAGGTATTCGTAACCAGAGCCCTAAGTAACACTATATCCAAGTTTGGAACAAATTCCGCATAGCGTTTATCACAGCAAATTCCCTCTAAAATTTTATGTCATTTTTACGATGCAACACAGGGGTATGTCCTTGGCATGGGCGGCGCTTCGCAGGAATTTTTCGCGTGAGTTTTTTTTGGGGTTCAGATAGTGGCAAGAGGTGTTTCGCTAGGGAGCTGCAGCTGCACGCGTGAATTTGTTTCTGGGAGGGTCACGGGGTGTCCTTTCTTCCATGCTATTAGGTCTGACCACAAGTTTTCGGGCTGGGCTCAAAAAAGTGAAATATCGGCACGGAAACCTTTTTGCATTATTTCATAGAAAACACTCGACCAGATTTGTCGCCATCTATTTGCAACCCTTCCGATCAGCCGAACATTTTTTTACCGAGAACAAACGTCAAGACATTAACAATCTGCGTCGAAAGTTGACAAATTTCCTTGAATCAGGGAATGTTGAGTTCTATGACGTAACATCAATTTGTCATCAGAGAAATGGCAAAGTACACACTCGATTTCAGTTGGTTCGCAATAGCGAATATTGCAATAAATATTGCTGTGCAATTTTTGTTACTTTCTGTAACTTTCGTGTTTCTGAGCTCTGTTTGGGAATATAGGTTAAGACCTAAGACCTCGACCTCCAGAACTCGACCTTTGACTCACGAACTTCACAATTCCACATTTTTTTCATCCCTTTCTATGTTGCCGCTTGCATTCACTCTGACGGCTGGAGAGCACTTTTCTTCACTATAACTGTTTGCACTGTGCATTACAAATCAAAGTCCCATGGCGAAATCTCACTAAGATTTTGAAAGCGAAGCCGGGCGCATGGGGCATCCAAAAAGGGTTGATAAGCGCCAAAGGCTTTGGTTTGCTTTCGTTCAGCACAAGGGCAATAATTATGAGCGCGGGAAGAGATCGAGCTCTTTCCACATCTGCTAAATCCCGCTGATGTACGCGTTTATCACTAGAAAAGCCAATGCTTTCTTTACCTGGTCATCTAACTAAACTTGTGCTGGTTGAAGAAATAAGGCCTTGGCGTAATTCAGCGCTTTTTGGAATGCGTCGTGCACCCTGTCCCTGCCTATTTTGGAGGCGATTTAACCTCCACAATGGACTTTCAGGGGACCAGCCCGGTGTGTGGCACTTTAATGTTTTTATTCTGCTCGCCATGTCCATGCATACACTACTCCGGATCCGGGAATTGACAAATTTTTGTAGGCAACAGTTTTTCGGCACCCCCAGGACTCGATCCCTGGACCGTGTGCTTGGTAGACGGCGCCACATGCCACTGCGCCATTCAGCCACGCAATATAGTAAGTAATTCCAGCACTCTGCTCCTCTTTGAATATTTTCCCTGATAGCTTAAAATAACGAAAGTGCTTAGCTTGCACAATGAAAGCGTTCATGTGTTTCCTTGGAGCAGCAGCGCTTATTATAGAATTAAATTTAGTGTTTATTTACTGGTGTTTAGACTGTGTAATGATAAAATTGCTATACGTCATCCACGCTAATTATCAGTCATTCATTCTTTCTCGTCTTTTCTCTGACGCTCCCCGCCATCTCACCCCCCCCCCGCTCTCCGTGCACACCCGTTTTCTTTCCATTTTGTCGTTTTCTCTCCACCTCTCACGCTCTCCGTCGTCCATCTCGGTTCATGGGGGCCCCGCATCGACTGCGTATTTCAGCCCGTGTATTGCCACTTGCAACTCTATCGTATTGGTCTTTTTTTGGATAAGCAGCGCCTGTTTCAGCCCATCTATTTTGCTGTGTATTTACAACGGAAACAGGTATCGTCTCGATTAAGGACAGTTCATATTCTTACATGGGCTATCCTTCGTGATATATAGACATTCTACACTTTCCGAAAATCTGTGATGACTAATTATTCCGAACCGCTCGTCACTACGTCATCCCGATTCCATTCGCCAGCCATTTCATTGCTCAAAACACGGTCCATTATGTTGTTTACATGTTTACATGTTTACTAACACCTCAACAAGCAACATTTTGTTACTGCAACCCCGCACACAATACGATACAAATCATCCATCCATACACACAGCTGAGTGCGTATTTTTCAACGATTAAACATATTGTTGAAAACGAAAGTTTCGCTAGTCCATTTCAAGGTCATTTCAATCGATATATTTTTTATTATTAATATTTCATTTGTAAATCCACAACGTTGTCGACATTTTACATGGTATCTTTCTCTCGTTATATCTCTCACATTCATCGAACGCTCCCTTTCACTTGTGGTGTCTCACTTCACTGAACGCATCACACCCCCCCCCCCACGCTGGCTTACCCTTGCTTTGCCACGCGGTTGTTCATCGGTGTTTCCCAACCGCTAATGTTTTGATAGTGCGAATATCATTTTACATGTTTACTCACAGCTATTGTACTCGACAAATTTTGCCAATTTTTCATTTTTTTATACCGTGCTATTGCTGCTGAATACATACATGCTTTGGGGCGAAATCAGTCCAGCATTAACGTTTTATTTTCTACACGCACATTTTGCACGAATTGCACGAAAATTCCTGCTGTTTTTCAAGAAATTTAGTTGCCATAACGCCTGTAAAAATTTTTTAGGGTGCAGTACTAGGGGTTCCTTCACAGCGCTTATTTGCAGTGCCATTCACGTCCCTAATACAGTACTTTTTGGAAGATCAGCAGCAAGGATAATCAAAAGATATTGTTTAATTTGAAATTTCATTTTCTTAGCACAGTGTCATCACATCCAGTTTTTCCTGATTCAATAAATCATTCCTACGCTTCTATAGAATTTATAGTCATAGTAAGCAAACATCAAATGATCCTTGATCTGCTGCCAGGAAATCAATCAAATCGTTATCAATCAATATGTGAAGTTTGATAGCCATATTCGGTTTAGTATTGTTTTCTTGGACCTTGGGCGCAGGTGTAGTTCGAGGGGGGGGGAATAGCTCGTCCGACTACAGTAATCCCATATTCTACTGGGCCTTCATGCAAAAAGGAAACTAGGTGATTATTGCTTTTGCTGAACGTATATAATAAAAGAAAATGTTTGCAATGGCCTCAAACTCCCTGGAGCTCTCCACCACGTCCCCCCCCCCGAACTAGCCTTCCCCCTTACTAGACTTGAGACCTTCTCTGAACGATCAGTGGCGATCGCTTTTTCTGTGGTGGTAGAGTACCATGGGGTTTCCCCCAATTTATCACCAAAACTCGTTCTTCGTGCTATAATGGGCATTTTCTGAGTACTGTCAAGTACTGCATAGCTCGGTGTTACTGGTACTGCATGCTTTGTTCATGATATGTGCCATCCTAACAGCGATATGATCGCTGATGTTGTGCTCATACGTCAGCGAACCTGTTCGGATCCGCAAGAAGCGTATCTCGAATGTTTGTTGTTTGCCGGGCGAAACCGGCACGTGAGATCCCTTAACGTCCCCCGATTTCCAGTCCCCTCTATGTCTTTTGTTCTTGCGTTGTTTTTCCTATGTGTGAGTGAGTGTGTGGGTGAGATACTCGGGTAACATAAGCTGATAACCAAAACACGCTGCTGCTGCTCATGCTGTTGCTGTTGCTGCTGCTGCTGCTGGTGCTGCTTCGTCATTCAGGGGGAGGCCGAGCGCGCTGTTTGTGTTATCCCCTCCACCACGAGTTTGATCTTTGCTTCATGTTGCATTCGCCTCTTACGATCGCATTCTCCTTGGCATACTAAATGAGTACAATGCGATTTCAGATTTGTTTGTTTTGCAGCGCCATCATGGCGCTAGTTCGCGTCACATGTTTCCTTATCTCATGTCGTGCTGTTTCAGTTGAATACAATTCCAGTTAGCTGAACGTGCGCCTTCGAAACATTTTTTTTTCAATCCACATTCCATATTGTTACTCTCAAAATTAATTTCGATTCATAACATGTGACCTTTTGCGCATTTTATAATTATGAATATCATTCGCTGCTTTCAACACGAGAATTCTCCTCTTTTCACTTCCAACTTTCTTCTTTGACGTCACACCTTGGCCACAGCGCGGGACACATATGTACCGCACTATCATACGGGAGCCACTCATTTTGACCAACTTGTGCCTCCGTTTTCATGTTCCAAAACTGACCGTATCTATTTTAGGGTGGCGCAATTATTGTAATGTTTTTGGTAAAGTAATTACTTATGAAACATGTTTAAAAAGTGTGTAGTAATTACTTTCAGTGAGGTTTGTTGAGCCGTAACCAAGATTTATTCGGCCAACATTGGCCTTATCGCCTTGATCAGGGCCTGGAAAGTCAAAAATAACTCCGATTTACCCCCCAAACACCATTTCAACATCAAGAAAAGTCCCATAGACCCAATGTCTGTAGAAGTGTTATCAAAGTGTGAAGGAGGGAGGGGGGGGGGGAGGAACTTTGGTGCTGAGACGTTTGATTTAAACCATAGTAAGCACTTCTTCTATTATTACCTCTTATAAACTTATTCTTAATTAGTTCATTTTTGTCTAACCTAGTCAGCTCATCAACCTAAGAGCTTCCTCACCTTCAAGAATTGCGATTACTGTAGTCGACACGAACTTTTGCAGCAATATGCCCCTCCCCCTCTTGCTCAGATAGACCCTATTTTTGGTCTCACCACTGCAGGAAAATGTATGATTCGAGCCCGTTGATGAAATGATTTTTCGTGGCGTGTCTGCATTGCCTTGACATTTTTTCGCGTATTTCGGTCTGTTTGGCCCAAGGAGGCGTGGTTGTCGAGTGTTCTGCTGTTTTGCCCTTTCGCTTGTTACTAGGATACTCGCTTTTTGCACTGCCTTCGTATATTTTCGTCTCATTGAAGATAAGGACTTTTCTGAGCAACTTTCGGCTTTCTGTCGTTTATGATGCGCTGAAAATAGGGACATGACTACTTCAGCGCCAGGACAACGTCATATTTGCGAGTTACTACTTATCCGAGCCATAAGTAACTACATCTTGTTTTCAGATGGATTTTCTTAGTAGTACTTCCATACTACAGCTCTCACAGTCATCATCAATCGATGAGGTGCCAGCACAATCAACAACGGAACCTCAAAGTTTAGAGAACATCGAGAGACCATCATTATCCTACAAAGACCTGATCATTGAGGCCATTGAAAGCAGTCCTGATAAACGTCTCAAGCTCAATGAAATATATCAGGTAAACAAGTCAAATTTCAAGACTGTTTCAAATTTTCTATATTACTGCTCTACCAGTGCGTGTACTGTAATTTGACACTCAAATTTTTTACTTGAAAATATCAATTTTGGGCCAACCTCGAGCGTCTGGCTCTAGCACTTGTTTAGTGTAGTACACTTCTGTAGTGCACTCTTACTTTACTGTCAGTACTGCTACAACAGCAGTAGCACTTTCGAGGAGGTTTGGCGAGGATTTCGGCTCAACGAGGGCTAATAGGTACTCTAGTTGGGGACCTCATACCTCCAGCCACTCACTTTTTTCCTGCCTGCCCATAAGTTGAAGGGGCCGTAGAAGGAAGGGCTGGAGGTAAATTAAAAATCATTGCCCTTACTAAATTTCCGTAACTATTTTCAACGAAATCCGCGCAGTTTGACTTTCTGATGGGTCAAATGATTTTTGAAAAATGCTAAAGTGTTGCCCTCTCCTCTCCTTATTTAAGCGCCGTCAACCGATCCTCCCTCTCTCCGAAAAACCTGCCAGTTCAACCTCACATTGTGTCCGGTTATCCCTGTCCTCCATTCCAGAGAGGCCAATTTGGCCCATATCAATCATATACAACACGGGATCTTGTTGGCGCTGGCTCTTCGTGGCTGAACCCCACCGCATATATAGCCCATTATGCATAAATTTAGGTTATACCCTCTATGTTGTGAATCCATAGATCTCAGAGTATTAGAGCGGTTTGGGGATGGATGAACAGCGCCAAATGACCCCTTTTAATCCATCACGGGTTTCAAAACTCGTGTTGTTGTATTGATTGATTTTTCAAATTTAATATTTCGAGGGTTTTAATTGGATGTGAAAATTGTTACATTTCGCAATATCACAAGTAACCGCATGTACACACACACAGGCGGCATCGGCGGTGGGCTGTCTAAGTCGGGCAGCTGTTGCTTTGGCTGAATGCATTCCCACGTGCTTTTAGTGTGCAGAACCAAACGATGTCTGGTATGGGCGTCGTTGGATGAGCGAAGTGCAAAAGAAGGTAAGACGCAACCACGATGGATCGCTATGGACACGGCAACTAATTTATGCACACTGTTTTCAGTATTTTGGATGAAAAAGGGTATAACAACAGCGCGGGACCTGAACATAAGGTGACAATGATTTAAGATGTTATTGATAAAGCACGTTTTTCATAGGACCTTATACTTAGCCATTGGCCTGAGTGATTGAACTATGTGTCAACACGAGGACTACATATGGACCGGGATGGCCGAGTGGTTGAGTGCGCACATCTGCGCCCGTGAGTGTCGCTTGGGTTCCTGGTCCCCTACCGCGTAGGATGAGCTGACGTCAAGGATTTGAGGGGTCGTATTTGCCTTTCCATGGAAGGCGATCATAGTGGGTGGAATTGGAATTGTGTTCCTGTTTCCCTACCATTCTTTCAATTATGTCCTAGGAACACATATGAGGGTCCGCAGCAAAGGGGGTATTAATGAATTGGCAATACCGCATTTTGAACCCCAATAAACAAGTAATTTTTAGTATAAATTAAATTTCGGGAACTAAGTCCTTAAAGGGGCGGGTTATGAAAAGACTCCGCGGTGCATGAGCACATTTCGTTTTCCGACTGTAAGCTCCACCTGCTTCAGGCTTAGTTTCTAGTAGGATGCCTCTCGTATAATTGCGATATACCTTCATTCCAGTTCAGGCATGTATATGGGTTTTAATGGCAACATTGAAGTGGCAATTTTTCGAGAAAGAGGCGAGTGCTTAGCCTACAATTTAGCATTTTTCGGCTGTTTCTAGTGGCATGTATAAACCCAACGAGGGGCGAATTGATGTTGTTGACATTGGCGCAGCTGCGAAAGCCGCGGTCCAGACAGATCAACTACTGAGGTGGCGCTGTCCAAATGTTAACCAGCCTTTCCGATCCTCTCCTTGGGTCAGATAGTTGGAACGAAGTTGTAACGATAAATTGTACATGGACTTGCCCCCGTAAGTCCTTGTATGGGCTCAATCGTATTCAAATGTCTCCACGAATCTGAGTCGAAGTAGAATGTGTGGCGCATCTCGAAGATGGATCGATCAATACCGGGTCTCTATACTTTTATGTATCTCCCTCCCACCACCGATCCGTGGGCAATTTTTGTGGTAATGGTAAAGTATTTTGGTTATCAGGTGGGGCAGGTAGTGTGATATTCGGGTGAGGCAGACGTGGACGCCATAATGAGCTTATTCGTGTTTAACATGACTTAGGGGTCTTTCACGCACATTACCCCTGGCAAAGTTAGCTCCTGCTGGTTAACCTAAAGCCTCAGACCCCAGGTTGGACAAACTCGGCTGCTGATTAACCCCCGTCCGATAAACAGCTGCCCCACTTATAAGTGTTTCCCCTTAGGATATAATATATTTCTTTGGCAATATTGTTATTTTTTTTTGATTTTATGCTCCATATTTTTCTCCGCGAGCCGTCCTTCATGTGAATTGATTATGTGTTTAGGTAATACGTTTGCTTCATCCCTACTATCGTCACCGTCCGACCAATGGGGTTGGCAGAACTCAATTCGTCACAATCTTTCACTCCCACTGCTATCGTGAAAGCTTCCTCTGAAGCAGACATCAGCAAGCGGGGTCGTAGGTGAGGCAGTGTTACAAAATTCTTGTTGCTTGTGGTTATATGGAACATCTGTCAATCGCCATCCATCATCGAAACAAAAGCTGTTATGCAACTGGTTTCCATCCATCATCTACCAACATATAGCATTTATCTTCTTAGCTAATCATCTTTTACTTCGCTATCTTAGAAGCTCTCGCGTTCTCATTATTGGCGATGTAGGAGAATAAGCAGGGCGGGGAGAGGGGAGTATTTTGCTGCAGAATACCCGAGGCGGGCAGGGGGTGAGGGTTTGCCCAAACCTATTATGAAGACGAGGCTCTTGGTGGTGGATCACCTTTGAAGAATACCTTTTCTGAACCCATTTTTGCGAGAAATCGCTCTTCCACCTTAGGCCCCCTCATTCTGGGCTCAAGCAAATTCCTTATTTTCTGGCTATCAATTGTTCCATCGCACTATTCGGAACCAGAAGCGCCCCAAGGTGGCTCAGGGGGTGGAGGGCAAGTTGCCGGCCGCTGTGTCTGCTTGTTCACGACAGTGGGAAACTCGAAATTTCAGCCTTTCAGCATCCTGTTCAAGCTGCTGCCGCTCACCCCATACCCCGACTAAGTTGGACTCCACTTGGCTAGGCTCCGACGGATTCCCCCTACCGTACTGATTTGTAGGGAATGCAACGCGCCGTCGGCGGCGACTGCCCCCCCCTCCTGACGCACATTGTTGCCCGCAGAAGCCAATGCATCATCAAAAAAATTGCAGATGGCCGTTTCAAATGATTATAACATTTGGTAATATCAAAGGATTTCTTGTGCGAATCGGGAAGAATTTTACCGTAACTCGCACGAACTATTGCACCATATCAACCCTCCCCCTCACTAGTATAGCACCCCATTAGTCCTGTAATAAAAAGTTTGAAGAACGGCGTCGAAATTAGGACCATAGCATTTGATGTCGTCAAAGGATTAATTGTACAAAATTGAGATCACGTATTCTCAACGCAGCTGTTGCAACCAAATCGCGCTTGCGCCTTATTAGTACTGCCTTCCCAGCCGGTCAACCGTAACGTTGACCAATTTCGAAAATTTTACGACCCCCTTCTCCCCTTCTAGAGGGCCTCGATACGACCCCCCCCCCCTCTTAGGGTTAACCCTTCACGACCATCCTCCACCACCCTCGCCTGCCATCGCCATCATGGGGGCGATTCTATAGTATTTCTACCGCAACGAACTAATACCGCTCATCGGATTCTAGTCTCGTTCCGTGAAAAAACCATCCATTCCCCCTTACTGTTGACATTGGACGCCACCTCGACCCCCCTCTTTTCGCACCCCTCAAATAACAGACCCCCTCCAAACCCCATCGTTGGACTTTGATCTGTGTCTGTGGGGGGGGGGAGGGGGCGTATTTGGGATATTTGTCCGAACGGTTGACCCTGCTTCCCAGACGATGTGGTGACATGAGACGACAATTCCAAACTGACCTGGTTCCCGGCAACCTCTGAGATATTCCATTATTTCTGTGGTGGTTTTAAATTCATCAATGGTTTCCAAACAGAGTCACGAACCTTTGTATTCCAGTCGCTCACTGATGCTATATTTTTCTTCGCAACCTTCATTTCCACCATATGCAAATATGTTGGACGTTTTTGTCCTTCCGATGGAACGCTCTTGCGCACTTTACACCTGGAAGCCATACTGCTTCTTTTTATTCAATCAGCATCTTTTGCAATTTCCATCTTTTGAAAGTAGTCCTGCATCTCATTTGGAAACTAGTCTTAATAATTCAAAATGCAAGTTTCATGGAAAACTCGGTCAACTGGTCTGTCACTCTACTGTCAGAGTCGGCGATTTGTCACACGAGGAGTTGTACTAGGGTAATTTGGATTATGGGGTCGTATTTCTGGATGGTATGGAAAGCTAAACATTCCTGGGAAGTTCATAATTTTTTAAGAAAATCAGAATTCTTGAAGCCAATGGCTAAATTTGCCCCGCTTAGCCTTTTAGCGCTATACAAAGAACATCTCTGCTCGGCACACATAGGAAATACGGGAGACGGGTTAGAAGTGTGTCAGGCTGAACAGATCCCCGACGCCATCAATCGTCGAAGGTAGAAAAGGGGGGTCATAGGTAATGTCGCTCTACGCCAAATTTGACCCTGTGTATTGTTCCCGTTCAATTTCCAAAGAACGTTCATCTTCTGCGTGAACCAACGGGTATGCGCAGAGGTTCCTACTTGTAAAGAACTTGCATTACCGTATGTGCACGTTGGTATCAAGCTTCCCCACGAACATATCCCAGCATTTTTTGTAACCATATATCTTTCGAAGATAAAAAAAAACATGCACAGCATAGCGCTCTGTCCCATCGCCACACACCTAGAAAAGTTACATATCTCTTACCGAAGTGGAAACTATCGTTCAGAGCAGCGAATCAGTTTCCAGATTGTATTCTAGCCTCCTGTTAAGACTTGACTTCATTGGTCAGGGTCTTGAAATTCTCACTAACCCTCACACCTTGTCCTGTGAAAGGGCCTGAAAAATGCTTCTTGCTCGCGAGTTCGTGGTTTATTGAAGGATGAGGCAGCATAAGATTTTCGTTGAAATGACACGATTACGAGAACGGGAACACAAAATTGGTGGTTATTTTGTCTTGCTTTACAGTGCAACCAAAATTACATTCGGTAACTAGCTCACTGGACTGATCCCCTCAGTAAATAAGGATTGCTGGGTTCGCAGCTGTGGAGAAGGGCCAGATTTCACGACTCTGAGCCCGGGTGACGCTAGGGGCTTAGAATTTGTAACCATGCACACCTCGAGCAGCCACACACGCCCACTATTGCGACATCTGCCGTCTCGCTCCGCTATGCTCTCTCTTCTCCGTCTATCGTTCTTTCGTTTTGGCGCTCAATTTTGCGAAGGCTGTCTGCTTCGACCCTGCCGCCGTCACAAAATCAGAGCCCTATTCATGGCCCTTTCTGTGGTCTCTTTTCTTTTTTCACTGGCAGTCAGCTACACGTAACGCCTATTGCACTTATTTCATAATGGAACCCCATAATTATCATATTTCTGCTATCGTGGAATGTGCTTTTGAGAAATATGCGCGACCGCCGAGTTCAAATTAGCGCGGAATACGCCGGCTGGTGGTATATTCACGCAGGATATCCCAATTTTTTCAGGAACAGTTTCAATTTTCACTTTTTTAATGTTTGTGAACTAATTCTCTTATTTTGTAGGACATTTCTGGACGGTCGTACCAGAACTCAGCGATAAACAAACATTGCGCCGACGTAATCGAAGCACGAACCGGGGTGGAAACCGGTTGAAGACGACTGAATCGCTTCAAGATACGACTGTAATGCGAGAAGAACTCACGTCCTCAGGAAGTGGTGACACATCACCAAGTCCACTACAACCATCAATAAGTCCTTCGTTGGATCTACCGAAACCAACCGCAAGTTATGGCGGAATAGAAGGCATATTAGGCAACGGCTACAAGGCATACGGACAATCACTACTCAGCGCTTATCTTTATCAACACGGTACA